GTCACTGTATGGTGCTCAGGGCTCTTGCTAAGGACTGGCGCAATCTGGCACTCCTTACCACGATGAATTTCGTGGGCTTGTTCTGATGTTATTGTCAGATAACTGAGATAAGTCACAACAACAAGAAAATGCAAAAATGATATAATAGACTTATAAAACATGATATAAACACTGTAGACTGAATTTTCTCGAGTTTTCTTGAAAGTACAGCATCAGTTGTAATTTATAATTCTATAATGGTATAGTTAGGGGCGCAATTAATTTTGCATTTATTTTATCATGAAAGAGAACGAACGATTAATAGCTGTGCTTCTCGTGTAGCAAAGTTAATATTGCAGCGTGACGTCGCCGCCAAGAATCATAGAAATTTTTTCTAAAGCCTTACCCAAAAGTATAGCACCATCAACTGTGCCTATTCGTAATATTCTGTAGAGAAAACGTAAGGTCTCCTGAACGGAGTTTTTATTTCAGGAGAGTAACGGTTCAAGAAATGTAAATCGCTATGAATATTATTCGCAAATAAGTTCTATGATACTCTGCAGATCAAATTTATAATACCATTTAAATTTTTATAGGTATTCCAGCGGCTCTGATTCTTGAACGTTTAAGTTGAGTGTTACAATTAAAATTTGGAATTTATTTTAAGCTATCTTCATTATTGAGCCAATGATCAAAATGTTGGATTTTTAAAACAGTGAGAGCTTTGGCATGGTTTCTTCAACTTCGGCAGTTCGAAAATGTCATTGATAATCCTTTCTCTTTAGTACAAAGATCAGTGAATTATAGGTTTATAGTTTTTATATGGTTTACGATCGGATTGAAGAGGCATACCTTTCCCAATGAGTGGAGAAAGCTGCTGTCATCCCAAAGACTCGAAGAATCCCTACAACTATCCATCGGATTTACGAGTCGCATTTGCTATATATTTGAAAAATAGTAAATGGCTGTCAATTCTAGAGCGTGAAAATGAAAAACGTAATCTTGCAATGGCAGTATGGTTTCCGAAAAGAAGGTCTACCGGCGGAAAAGAATTGCTACCCATGTCCTGCCTATTCGTAGGACTACCTGCTACAAAGAGGTTTTATCAAAAGAAACCACTTAGTTTCTGTGTTTTTAAATGCAGGAAAAGCTTATGATAAGGCTAGAGATACATCATTTTGACCGATCTTCACGGCAATGGTTTGCTTGGCAAACTACCAATTTTTGCTTAAACTGTTTTGAAGTCATCTGACAATATATTTGGTTTTTACTTAAATACTCGTATATTGTCAGATAACTTCGAACAAGAATAATATATGCCTCAAGGCTAAATTTTCAGTGTTACTCTGTTCAGCTTGTAAATAAATTCTTTTTTAAGGAACTTCCTCCTGCTGTTTCAAGATCTTTATACGCTGATGACCTGCAGAAAAGTTGTCAAGCTGCAGATATGAGCAATGTGAAGATGCAGTTATACATCTTTCAAAACAGAATCTACAAACAGTCAATATGAGTTTATATTTCCATAACAAAAGACTCGTGTGAATGTATTTTTGCAGAAAGTCAAATTTACATCTGAGCTTCACCATCAGGTTTCTTTCATTCCACTTTGTACCTGAAGTTTCTAAGAGTGACGTTCGACCGAAAATTAAAATTTTCTTTCCACATGTTCTATATTTGGAATGAAATATTTCAGAGTACTAATTATTTTAAAACTCCAAGCGAACACCACTTGGTGCGTGTATCGCTGTTCTTTGCTTTGCAATTATATGTTCAAGAATATAAATCGGTAATGGTTAGATAATGGTTCATAATGGTTAGAGATTTATGGATAGGCAATGTGTTCCATTTAACTGGAACTAGATCATGTTCATCATCAGCCCCTACTGATTTGTTCTAAAGCATTCAGGATATTTCATGTCCAAGCAGGACATTTCATGTCCAGTCGTTTTACGAACCATCACTCCAGATAAGGCCTAAGTATATGTCTCTTTTTCACTATTTCAATATGTTATCGCAAGCTGACCATCCTTGTAAAATATCTTTGCTACGTGATAGTTGAGGTCTTCTATTTGAACCACTATCCTGTGTGCCTGCTTTCGCTTTAAGAGTTCGCTCATTGATTGAAGAAAAACCATTGTGAAACATTTATAAATTCTACCATAAATCCAGTTTGTTGATGCTTTCAACCATCTTAACTAAAGTCGTCTAACGGGATTATACGCAAACACCTTTTTCTTGAACACAGACATAAATGCATCAGGTACATTTCCGTCCATTTGTACTGTTTTGGGAAAAGAAAAAACTTAAAAAATAATCTGATTATCTCGAAATTTTGTATACGAGTTCCTTCTTATCAAGAATGCAAATGATTGAATTTTCAAGGCCAACGAGTGTTAACTTGGTCATTGCACGTGTTTCTACTCCGCAACTAACATTGTATAAAAGAGGTAAGAATTACAGACGGTTTACCTTTTCTTGTTGTCGGCGTTGCAGTTCCCTGGAGATACAACTAATAACGCCATTACAATGTTGTCGAACACAATAGATAATTGAATGGCTTTGAACGTGGTCGCATAATAGGGATGCGAGAAGCGGGATGGTTATACCGAGGAATAGACTACCACTTGCACCATACGGGCACGGTTGCGCAAAAGTGCTGGAACCAATGGTTGCTGCAAGGTATTCATCGGCGGAATCAAGCGCACGAATGCGAGGCAAGATCGGATGATTGTGTAACATCCCCAACATTCCCAACAGCACCTTTGTCCACTGTCCAACGTGCTTACTACCTGTGGCACCTTCCTCTATCTCACATAACGCTTGCCTGAGGCGGGGTTGCACTCGCAGTGGCCTAAGACGTTGGCCTTTAACCACATAACATGCATGAAGACTTATGGAAGTGATTTCGTAGCCGATTGAAATTGCATCGTGTTCAGCGGCAAACTTCGCTTCAGTCTTGAAGCAGATGATCTGTGCGTGGAGAACTCAAGGCTAGCTGTCCTAATCGGCTTTTTTCTTCACAGAAGCAAGCAGCCATTATCCCTAGTGTGGTGGTGTAGGGTGTTGTCTTTCACTACAGCATATCGAAACTTAGTCATCCTACATACAACTTTAACAGCGATATACTGATCACATCCTGCGGTCGTTTGCTTTATCCTACATGGCACGCCATCCCAGAGCCATTTTGCAACAAGATAATGTTAGACCCCATACAGCTCGCATATACTGTCTCCGAGCTGCTGATATTCTTTTTTTGGCTAGCAAGGTCACCGGACCTTTCGTCAGTCGAACATATAGGGATATGGTAGGCTGCCAAATTTGAGAGCCTCAATGTCTCAGATCTAGAGTGACAGTTGAGAAATACCTGACAGAATGTATCGCAGGATGAGATTAGGAAGCTTTATCGCTCCTTTCCTCATATACCTTCATTTATAAGCACGCCTCGTGGCCAGGGGGTTCATCTGTTACTGATTTGAACATTCAATGTGCATCTGCTAGCCACTGTGGGACCTGTGATTTGAATTTTTAATTATTTTATTACCTGTGTACGAGCTTTACGCGTATTTAATTTCAATAAAAACAGTCACTTTCTTCGTGGTTTTTATTTATTTATTTCGGCAAAAAAATGTAAATGAGTCGAAGGGGCTTGATCATGTTGAAACACAATTACGTTTGCTCAGTCTTCTCCTCTGAATTGACTGCTGTGTATTATGCATTTTTCTATGTATCTAAAATCATTCAATATATTTTATATCAGATATTTCAATATGTTTTACGCACTGAGGTTTTACTAGATTTCATACCTTATATTCATTTTTCATGTTTCCTTAGTTCCTTTATCACTGCATAAATAAATTATCACCATCGCATCATTTTAATTGCTTTTATCGCTTTATTCTGCCGACGAAATGTACTTAGCGTGTGTTTGGCATACATGACCTTCCAAGTTAGGCTTCAAAATATCCACGAATGCGCAAATCCTGGCAGGATGCCGCCAACCATTTGAATTTTTTATCAAATGCGATCGGCGCTGCAAGAGGAATGTGCCACAATAGTTCAAAAACTAGTCAATGATCCCATACTGAGCACGAATAAAAGAAATAATAGAATTTTAGGATGTTTAAAGGAGGAAAAAATTAAATTGAATAAAAAAATATAGAGATTAAAAATATAGAAAATTGAAAGAATAAAAGTGCACAAGGTGCGCAAGGGTAATTATACACCCCTCCCTTACACAGTTTGAGGAATGCATTTTCTTGCTTGCCGCCTATCATATGGGATTTTTATCTTCTCTCTTACATCTCGACTATATTATGGTGTACTTTGTAGCGATTAGAAGCACAGCTGTGCGAAGCTGCATAAAATCTATACCACCTTTAATTTTTGTATAACGAGTGTATAATGAAGCAACGCTGTGAATAATTCTTGTACCTTCTGTAAGCATATAGAGTGCCACTAGCCTTCAATACCCCTCGAGCTCAGTACTTATTACTAAGTGAATGCAGTTCTAAGGAACAAGGAGATTACGGCCTTATTTATAAATTAAAGTTTGAGAATGGGCGTAACTAGTGATGGCGCCTGAGAAAGTTTGTTCAGTGTAGGTGGTTACATGGCAAAATTTTAAATAAATAGCAGGAGAAAGTAAAATACAAAGTAGAGGCTTAAAGGTAATTAAAAATATCCCTTCACTTGATAGACTACAAAAAACACCAGACAGTAAGAGATCTTTTTCCGTGTGTGTGTTCTTTCAAGAATAAAAATTAAAATGAGGCGTAAGTTTAAACATTAAAATATATATTAGCTTCTTAAATTAATTAAAATTTGTATACATATAACTAAAAGTTGTGTATTGAAAAAAGTTTCTTTTCTTCTTTAAAAGAATTTTTCCGTTACGTTTACAGAAATTAAACGTGAAATAATTTTCACTGAACCCGAAACTTTCCTTCTTTAAATTTAATTGCAAGGATGTTTGACATGCGTATTTGAATTTAAGTTCCTTTTAACTCATGTTTTCAGGCATTGTAAACGGACCTGAAGGTGATATCCGGCAGAATAATGAAAAATTGTGGACATTAGCACAGAATTTTTCCCATCTCATCACCATAGAACCAGTGGTCCAAACAGTTCTTTGGTGGGATCCTTTGCAAGCAACAAGAGCAGGTAAAATTGAACCTCCAGAAAATAAGTAAACAAAACTATATAATTTATATATATATAATCGTTTACCTATTATACCCACTTATACACACCGTTAAATTATACTTAATTCTTTTAAGTAAAGTCCTAAAACGTATATCTGACCGCATACTATTTATTTTTACTAATTTATTTGAATATTCATGTAAAATAACACAAAACTTTGCAAAGTGCATCTATTTTCTATTTATGACGTGAATGTAAACGCAAAATAGTCCAAAATGCACTAAATATTTATATGCATCGTATTCATAGATAAATTAACCTCGAGTAAGGTCAAAAGAAAAAAAGTTATGCTACAACAGAAAGTGCTACAAAAGTCGTGTTGAAGGTTGAAAATAAATCCACAGTGAAGCATAACATATCGAAAAAAGAGAAAGAGACTGTTGCTAGAGAACCGTTTATTTTAAAGATTCACAAATCCACATTTTCACTTTTAAAATAGTTAGTTCCCTTTAGGGACTACACACTGCTGCAAATGTATTAGCTACGTCATAAGTGGGGTAGTATGATCACTTACAAATGGTATTGTTGCGTTCTACGGGTTCGTGGATTTGGAATAATTGATGACAGCACTTTGTGAAGAATTAAAACACAATTTATTCGTCAGCATTATACAATACACGTGTATTCGTCAGTATTACACAAGACACGTTTACAGTCGTCGAAAAACTACAATAAATACCCTGAAACAATCAGGAACACAGCCTTCAGACTATGACATTGAGGAGAGTTACACGGCAAAGCACTAAATTTCAGCTCCCGACTCGATCGATCGCTCTCAAGCTAATCTCTGAACTCAAGACACTACTACTCTACTCAAGATACTCAGAGCCGGATTTAGACTTGATAAGGCCCTAAACTATTTGCGATATGGGGCCCTTTATAATTCTGTTATAATATATTTTAATTTTTTTGGGGGGCCTTGAGCTATAGCTCGTGTAGCTTATACGTAAATCCTGCACTGAAGATACTACACGCTCCCCGTACAGACAGAGTATATATAGCTTTAACCTACCTTCGGGAATATTCCCGAAAAAAAACCGCTAAGAATGCGTTCTAGAATGTTCTTGCTCCGTCTACGGCATATCGCCAGTTTTGTCGCCAAATGAGCGACCTCGCTCCAAATCTGGCAACCCTAACTGCGCTTTGTGGAGAAGCTATCTCGCCACAGCTGGGCATTTTTGCAAGACTACGTTACGGCTTTCCGAATATCGTCCACGTTGCCAAAATAATGGATTTTCAGGTATAAATTTACTTTAGGGTAAAGACATAAATTAGTGGGATTAAGTTCAGGTGAACAGAAAATTTAAGAATCATGGAAATGCTCTATGAATTTTAAAATGCAGTGACCGATTGTGCAATCTAATAAAAAGCATATACCAATCTGCATTGCGACTAATCTGCATTCTCATTATTTAGTGATGATAGAGCTTAACTCAGATCTGATTGTCAGTAACAGTTATGAATAAGTGTCACAATCTAGCCTGAAATGCAAATGAAATCAAAGAAATGCAAATACACGTGAGTTATATTTAAAGGATATTATATATAAATTATACAAAATGCATGCATATTTGTAACTTTATGAATAAAAGTCGGAAGATCTGCAGGAAAAGAATTATTTTCGAAGCACCTGCGTTCATAACGCTTGGATGAAATATTTGTATCAATTTCGCCACAGTTCTTATCGCAGCAACATTAACACTATTATGATATTTATTTGTTTTTAACATATGCATTTGTAGGGAGATTTACCATTGATGTAGGGTTTGTAGACACACTAGGTTTTTTTTTTTTTTTTTTTTTTTTTAACAGGAGTTGGGAAAAATAAGCAATTCCTTCGCAGGGACTCGAACTCTGGACCTCTCGAAGACGTGTTGAGTATTAAATATTCCAGTTACACCACGAAGGCATGCTGGAGGGAGAGAGAAAATACCTTATATGTTCATATGCTTCTATTTCGTTCATATGTTTAAAACCGAAAGAAATACTTAAATTTATAGTTTTAATGATAGCTTTCCTCACAGAAATCTACAGTAAAACTATCCAGAAAATTATCTTTTTATGTTTCTGAGGTAGGATCTAATAATTTACTAGATTGGTCCTAATCTGTTATGTTTTGCTCAAGCATTTTGATATTCTTAAAATTCCAGTGAGTCCATTTGCAATCTTAAAATATTACTGACGTCACTCAAAAGTGAAATGACAGAACGTAATCACAAAATTTCAATATATCACGTATTTACGTATTTCCTTTTTTAGGCTCAAAGAAATTTACAACTATTTTTTTTTTCCAACTTCAGTGTGTGCTCTTGTCAAACAAGATGTAAGCTCATTAGTCTTACTGGGCCCACCACAGATCAATCCACTTCTAATATCCTATTCCGATTATATGGGACTTCCTTTAACAACTGAATTCGATACCAAAGATACTATTGGGAAGTTTCATGTGAGTATGTTGCCTGATACTACCCATGCTGTGGCTGACATATTGACTTATTATGGCTGGGAGTCTTTTATCTTCATTTACGATTTACATAACGGTAAGTAAAAATAAATTTGCAATAAAGACTATCTTACATTACTTGAAAGTTCTTGGAAACTGAGATATTATTAATAACAAAAAATAACGGTTTTTTTTTTTCATTACAGAAATTTCAACTATTTTAATTATAATTAAAAGTTTAATTAATATAAAATTTTTTGTGCTGATTTCGAATTTGATTATAATATATATGTAATGAAGCAGACTTAGCAATGTTGATGACGCAGAAACAGTTGATGACGTAGATGGAGAAATATGGCATTTCATTCATTGTAACGAAGCAACAGACTCAAAAGTAATGATATTGTAGAAAAATTGATTTCACAGGTACGCAGAAGTATTGATGGCGTATTGTAGAACTATTGCATTTCGTAGATGTTGATCCTATATGAAGCACAGTCTGTGAGCTAAGGCAAGTTAAATATTCCTTTTTATTTCAGTAAACATTTGCAACCACAAACAATTTGGCATTCTTATTCGTGCTTGTTTTCAAAAACGTTTACATTTCTGATAGCTTTGCAATAAGAAGAGAGCAGCAGGCAGCTGGGCCGAATTGTAGAAAGCAAGTGCAGTTGTGTTCAGGGATAAAATCTGAATTCAAAATAAGTTAGTAGCTTTGGTTCTTAATTCATGATTGGATAACCAGAGTCATATGACATGGATTAGTCTCGAAATGACGCAGTACTGTTAAATGTTCATCTAAAGTGTTTTTTCCTCGCTAGAGGGCGCTAGAAGTTTTATTAGTGAGAGAAATTAAAACTGTTTTTTTTTTAATTCTTTTTTGTAAATAGTAGATAGTTCGTTTTCAAATCCGTGTGATAGACGGATAAATTGTTTCGTACAGCCATAAGAGAAAAAGAGAGCCTGTACAAGTTAATGTATTTAAATATTAATTTTTTCCTTTTGAATGTTTTATGTAAATAAAATGTGATGTCCAGAAATAGAATTGTGGTTTTTCTGTAAAGAAGATTGCCTGTTGAAACATCACGTCAGATTCAACGATGCATCAGAAAAGGTAAAGGAATTTAGTTCTTGTTTTTTAAATCAGTTACATAAATAAAGCCTGCATACGTCAGTGGATTCTGACAACTTCGATCAACAGTAGTTGATTAATTACGTAATAGTGCAGAAAAATGTTACCATTTTTAGAATAGAAGGGAAATAACAAATTAAGTACTAAGGGCTATTTCTAATTTAAATTATAATTAACTTTTTACACATTTTTTTATATTACATATATCTATTCAATATTGTTTATTAGCATCTGAGTTTTTATTCTTACAAAAGTATTGTTATTTTTTGCATATGATTACCTACTGGCTCAGCGTGCTGGGCTGTCGTTCAGTTTAATTTTAATTTACATATTTGACGCAACGTAGCACACTGATCACCTATGGGTTGATCCACCATCAAGTTTCTAGTTTAACGACTTATCCATGCAAATGACCCACGCAAGGGGCTGACCTTCTACGACCCTCCTATAGGTAACACTATACAAGGTCACTTTCCGTTTAATTTAGTTTTATTAATTTACCGTTTGAAAGTTTTCATTAACATCTGTTGCATTATTTTATTCAATAACAATTTTCAGCTACTTACTCTGTACATAGTACGGAACTGTTAAAGAAAGGGTTGCCTAGGCTGTCATCTTCGTCCATGGAACTATATGAATAGGCTTTATCATTTTAGACATGACAACAACACAGTACGGAATCTTTTTTTTTTTTCCTCCCCATACATTTGCTCCCATACTGAACGAATAACGCTCTAAAATTTTGTAGATGAAAATTTTCTCTACCCCCTCCTTATATGTTCTTTCCCCCTCCTTATTTTCCTCTTTCCCCCTTTCCTTATTTTCCCCTTTCCTTATTTTCCTCTTTTCCCTTCTGAGATATAAATTCTAATTTCTTACCTTATTGCTAGAGGTACTGCATATATTTTCTTAAAACACTTTGTTCAAAAGTGAAAATTGTACGTAAAGAGGTTATCACACATGGCTACAGTCCCTGCTAGACAGGACTTTTCTGAGAAACGAAATTCTGGTAGCACTGGTTTAAATGGGAGGGTTCCTAGAAAAAAGAGCTCCGCTGGAAGAGAAGTCCCGCCTAGCTACGAAAAAATGTTGCGGCTACGCGGGATTTTTTTCAAATCTCACCGAAAATGTCTCGGGTCCCGGGTAGAGACAACCAATCAGACGAACGTTCTGCTTCTGAAGGATCACGTGATTCCAATTTGAGCGATAATCGATTACTGTTTGGCTTTCAAGTCTTTGTAGTAAGTGAGAATGGTAACATAGCTACGCGTGTTTCCTGGAATTGTGCGGGTTCTGAGAATTGTCCCTTTCGACATCAAGTCCTGCGTAGCCGAAACATAATGTGATTAGGACGTAAGGATTGAGAAGGGATCTATAATATATCTGAAAACAAGCAATTATATTTTACAAGAATATAAGATTAATAACTGTTTTTGTTGAATCTCTAGGAGCTGATCAGTTGCAGAAAATCCTTCGTTTTATGCCTAACTACACCGCAGATAGAAGCTTTCTGGAGAGCAGATAATGCGGATTCTGCTTTTGGATATCTAACAGCTTCGGTACCTTCAAATTCAGGTAGGATTCTTTTGGCTACATCGGAGACACTAGCAGATGAATTGGTTGCTAAATACGTAGCGAGAGGAAGGAATTTTCATTTTATATTAATTCGACCGGTAAGTAAGTATTTTTGTTATAATGACGTTAAGAAATAATTTATTTTCCATAGAATAAAAGTGAAGAACTTTAAAACAGATTTATATAGCCTTTTAAAATTTCCAATAAAGCGGTCCAACCGGTATAGTGGTTAGCGCCGCTAACTGCCATGCCGAAGGGGCCGGTTTCAAATCCTGGTAAAGGCATGGATGTTTGTAAATGTATAATGTCCGTGCGGCATGAAAGCACTCCAAATATGTGGCGAGCCGAGAGGCTGATGGTAGGGGAAGAGGAGTGGGAGACACTCGTCCCCCCCCGACATGCTCTCCATTAAATTGGGTCGGAACTGAACTAACTTCTTACGTTGCTCAAGAATTCAATTATTTGAAAGTTGTTGCTTTTGGCAAGCATATTTCTCCTCCAGTTGAACACCACTACCATACAGTTCTTTTCCTTTTCTGAGTTATAAAATTTCTTGGGTTCAAGTTCGTTTCCAATTTCCATTTCACTCCACTGCCTTGTCACTTTATTCACTGCCTTGTCACTCAAGTTCATTTTTCAAGTTATTCTCTATTTTGTTAATAAAATTCATTGTTCAGCTCTTCAAAACCTAATTTCAGATTTTATTTATTGAGAAATTTTTAATAGTCCTTTTTAATGTCGTTTCACATACATCGACCAAACTTCAAGTTCGTTTCCTTCCAGTTTGAAAAGTTCTCATGAAAGAATAAAAACATCTGAAAAAAAGAAGAAATAAGTAAATCTTCTACAGCTCGTAGTTGGTACTTCATTCTTTTGACTTTAGTTCCATTAAAAGTATCCGAAACATTTCTGTAACTGGTGAATTAAATTTTATTGAAGTTCTTCGTATGTCAGCTTTACATAATAATGCTAATATCTGTTAAATTTTTCTTAAAGCCTTTATTCTAGTTTTAAATCCCTCTGTTTCTTATTTTGCTTCATAGATGGCTGGATCATATTTTTATGATGAGGAATGCTTTTTCTATTATTTGTTTTACCTTATTTAAATAACGTACTTACCTCTTAAGCGTAAACAGATGCTCTTTGAAGAAGAGTTATGTGTGCCAGTCTCTGTCAAAATGTGTAGAAAGTTCCAGTAAACGTAATATCAGAGTAAAAATGATTAAATACTAAATTTTATTTCCTCTACTTTTACTAGTGCATTATATGATGTGCTATAAAAATAAGTGTGAAACTGTACTTTTTCATTTGCTTGATTGCTTCATGCAATGTTAAATCTAAATTAATTTTATATAAGATTATATATAATTTTATATAAGAATCTTTATTATAAGATGTGATGTGGCAAAACGTACAAAGTGGCGAAAATGTTTGTATTTGTAATTTCAATCCCAAATGATTGTTGTTTTGTATTTCATTAAAATTTTTAGTCATGCGAGGTAGCATTGATCCACCTTAACTCTGGATGGTCGGAACTGTATTGTCATGTGAAATGTTTTACCTTGTAGGGTTTATATTTATTTTAACTAACATTTATTTTAAGCTTAAACTATCTTTCCTGTCAATCCTTACTTTCCCCTGGAACTGCCAATGCCAGAATATGTAAATTTGAGTAGAACGCGCAAGCATTCAAATTATCAGCGGAAGTAGTATGATTTAAATAGAAGGAAACGAGTTCGGTGGTGAGAGAGTTATTCTTACTTAGCGAGCGCGGAGGTAGTTATCGAGAATTGAAGAACCCCGCGTTGCGGCCTATGTGCTTGGCGGGAAGTAGTTGCAATTGTTCCAGTGAGCTTCAAGTCTGCTGAATTAGCTGCGGCATTTGTAAAACGCGGTGAGTTAGTTATTTTAGAGAGCCTCGTAGTTAGAAGCTTGTCTTTACTTTCTTTTTCAGGTTATTATTTTTATTTGACTGCCTAGTGGGCACAGTCTGTAAGCGTCAAGAGGACGCCATTGTAATTTATTACGTTGAATAAAAAGGGACTTAAACCCTTTATAAGACTCTGTGGTTTATACAAGCTTTCACAGTCACCTCTAGGTTGCGTGCTAGTTAGAGGCGCGCAACGTTATATTGGCGCCCGAACACTTATCGAACTGAAATGGCCGAAAACTGGATGGAAGCCGCTGGACAACACCAAGAAATGACAACTCAGTTAGAAGGATTTGGATACCTGGTCCAGACTTTGAGAGCATCAATCAAGCCAAACGTCTATTTCGACGGAAAAAATTCGGTGTCCGTATTTTTAGAAGGTATAGAAAACCACTTTCAGCTTTACCCTGTGCCTGAAAGACAAAAAGTTGCCATCGCCACATCAGCACTAAGAGGACAGGCCGCGCTATGGTGGAAAAATATAGGCAAATTTCTTCTAGGTGAATTTGGAAGCCCGACGTATACATTTGAAAATTTCAAAAAATCGTTAGTAAAAAGGCCTTCCCCATAGTGAAAGATCGCGCACGGCTGGAAGCCGAGCTATATAGTTTTTATCAACGGGATACAGCAGAATTGACGGACTTATTTTACGAAAAATCAAGCTAACGGACATGCTGTATGGGAAAAAACCCGATGCGGAGATAATTGAAATAATATTACCAAGATTGTTACCCGCTGTCCAAGACTACTTTGAAATTAGAAACCCAACCACATTGCAGGAACTTTTCGAATTGGCGGGTGAAATTTCAAAATCGCAGAATAGCGGAAAGAGCGAGAGGGGGGAAACATATTCTCAAAGTACCAGAAGGAAGGAGGAAACAAGAAATGGAAATCGCTCATATGGGGGAAAGAACTATCAAGCTAAACGCATCGAAACTCGAAGGTCAAGGCCCAAAAAGAAAATTTGAAAATAAGCATCCGCGTACCCAGAAGACACAGATTGAAAGGAAAGCTTTAAACGACTAGAGGGGCCTGTGAAAGGGAGGGTCCAGACCCCGGAAGTTTTAGAAAAACCCTCAAATAGAATCTAAATACAGTCATCGTAAAAAACTCACATTTACCCGATTATACAAGTCCTGGTTGGCGATGTACCAGTAGAAGCCCTCATCGATACAGGAGCAGAAGGTAACTTTTCATGAGTGAATAGTTTTTCAAAAAGAATTTTATAGGATACGACTCTTTAAAACCAGAAATACGGAAATTATAGCGGCGCAAGGAAAAACATGTCACTGCATCGGGGAAAGTATCATTAAAACTTACAGATAAAAGAGGAAAATCTCAAAGTATTAATTTTTGTGTGAAAGACCTCAACACTCTCTTATTTTAGGTATGGACTTTTTAAGGCCGCGAGTGCCAAATTAATTTTCAAGATAGTTCCGTGGCGCTGGAGATGGACCAGAGGGTGGTGGAACCGGTGGAGACACCTGAATTGGACCTTAGCCATTTGAATGACCAGGAAAGTAAAGCAATACAGCAAGTGGTGAGTAATTTTTCTCATTTGTTTTCAGAAAAACCGGGAAACTGTCAGATCGTGACTCACAAGATTCAATTAAATGCCGAAAACCCTTGTAGGACTAAACCGTATCGCTATGATAACAAGAAAGACTTAATCATCGAAGAACATATTCAGGAGATGTTAAAGAATAAAATAATAACGCCCATAAATAGTGAGTACGCGAGTCCAGTCGTACTATGTAGGAAAAAGAACGATCTAAAAGAACGACTTCCCTCCTTCAGATAAAAGGGCTTGGAGGTTTGCTATCGACTAATAGAAAACTCAATAGCATTAACTAAATTACCGGTTTCACCCTTTGCCGGTGATTGAGGAAGATTCATTAGAACAGATAAAGTCGACTAGATATATGACTACGTTGGACTTAACTTCTGGCTACTATCAAATAGCTATGAAGACCCAGAAGATATACATGAAACCGCGTTTATCACAAAATCGGGCACTTATACATTTTTACGCATGCACTTTTGGGCTGTGTGGGGTCCCATCAACATTCCAGAGAGTTATGGACATTGTTCTAAAAGCCTGTCCTAGGAAAATTAACTTTAATTTATCTAGATGATATAATTATAACGAGTAGTACGTTGGAACAACACATTAATGACCTCGAACAAGTTTTTTAAATTATTAAAAGAGGCCGGTCTTACAATTAACGCCTCAAAATGCAAGTTCGCAACTAAAGAACTTAAATATCTCGGTTATAAAATTTCGCAAAAAGGTATAGAAACGCAAGATTCAAAAATAAAAGCTATTAAGAATTTCCCACCGCCCAACACCGCCAAGAAACTTTCGTCTTTCCTTGGACTATGTTCTTACTATCGATCTTTCATAAAAGATTTCGCTAATATTGTTGAACCACTCTTAGTAATCAAAAGAAAAAAGAGTAAATTTACGTGGACAGCTGAAGCTAACACAGCTTTTGAAAGATTAAAAGAAGCGCTTATTAATGCCCCTGTTTTAAAATTCCCTGAGGGGGACGAAAACCTGGAAATTGCGGCAGATGCATCAGACTATGCGGTGGGTGCGGTTCTTATGCAAAATAACCATCCGCTGGCATTTTTCAGTAAAACATTGAATCAAACACAAAGGAATTATACAGCTACAGAAAGAGAAACATTAGCCGTATTAATGGCTGTACACAAATTTCGAGTTTATTTCGGCAAATCGCCAGTAACAGTCTTTTCGGATCATGCGGCTGTTGGTAGACTTTACTCGGGAAAAAACCTAACGCCCAGGTTAATAAGATGGGCTTTAAAACTCCAAGAATATAAGAATACAATAAAATATAAACCGGGTAAGGAAAACAATGTAGCTGACGCACTTTCTCGTATAAAACTGGATGATGAAGGTAATGAACTTAAATGCGCTGTGTTGACTTCAAAAATTTTAGATTCTAGAGATACGGTTATTACTGAACTGAAAGCTGATCCTGAATTTGGAAATATCTATGCTTATTTGAAAGACCCCGAAAGCTTAGAGCATACAGATATCGATGCGATAAGAAATAGAGCAAAAAACTATGAAATAATAGATAATTTATTATTCTATACGAAAACAACAAACGAAAATCTCGAGTACAAACCAGTCATCCCAGC